GTATTTTTTGGGAATTTTCCCCATCAAGATGTCTAAATATGGTCCTCGTTTACAATTGATTTTGAAAATTGTTTAATTTTCGAAGAAAAAAAAAGGCAATAAAAAGCGACCCTCGTGACCTATACGAAGAAGATTCGGTCCAGAAAAAGAGTTGGCGGGTCCTTCAGTCATTCCTCCTCACGTAAAAGTCCTAACAACAGTGATTTTCAAATGACTCAAATTGCGATTAAAATTAGAATTAATTGTTTGCAGAAATTAGTCTAGATTCATTTACCTAACAAACAATACAATGTTATATTTTACATTTACACGACGTCTACGTTGCATTATTTGTCCTATAATAAACCAACCCCAACCACACCACAAAATCATCGATATCTCATATCTCCAAAGGCCCCACTAAGAGAACCACCATGGGAGGACTCGACGAAGATTTTATCCAAGCTCCTGAACACAGACCCAACACAAAACTCACTAACTCCGGCGATTTCATCTTCTCCGACGAGATCCCGACCATCGACCTCTCTTCCGATCGTGACAAAACAACCATCGCGACAGAGATCGCAGAGGCATGCGAGAGATGGGGATTTTTTCAGGTGATCAACCACGGTTTACCGTCGGATCTAAGGCGTCGTGTGGAGAAAACAGCGGCGGATTTTTTCATTCTAACGGCGGAGGAAAAGAGAAGAGTGAAAAGAGACGAAGTGAATCCTATGGGTTATCACGACGAAGAACATACTAAGAACGTTAGAGATTGGAAAGAAATTTTCGATTTCTTCTTGCAAGATCCGACGATCGTTCCGGCGACTCCGGAGCCGGAAGACACCGAGCTCAGAGAGCTCACGAATCAGTGGCCTCAAAACCCTTCTCATTTCAGGTGATCATTTTGACTTGTACTCGAATTAAGGAACTAATCTTGAGTTTGAGAACGGGTTTAAGCCCATTGGGCCTTAGTAGAATCCATTTATTATGATCTAATTAGCTTTAGGTGAATTTTTGATTCATGTGTTGTGGTATATAGAGAGGTATGCCAAGAATATGCAAGAGAAGTTGAGAAGTTAGCTTTCAAGCTCTTGGAACTTATCTCCATTAGCTTGGGTTTGTCGGGTGATCGGTTAAAGGACTACTTCAAGGAGCAAACGAGTTTTTTGCGATTTAACCATTACCCTCCTTGCCCAAACCCTGAGCTAGCATTAGGCGTTGGACGCCACAAAGATGGAGGAGCTCTTACCGTATTGGCCCAAGATAGTGTAGGTGGATTACAAGTGAGTCATAGATCGGATGGACAATGGATCTCAGTGAAACCGATCCCGGATGCTTTAATTATTAATATTGGCAACTGTATGCAGGTAAAACTGAACTTTGATCTCAAAACCAATTAGCAATTAAAAGACTTATAAATAGCTATTTTAGGTTCGATGAATGCAATTTGGTCATTTATGTAAAATTTGTTGTGGAGTAGGTGTGGACAAATGATAAGTATTGGAGTGCAGAACATAGAGTGGTAGTGAACACAAGCAAAGAGAGATTCTCAATCCCGTTCTTCTTTTTTCCATCACACAAAGCCAACATTAAGCCATTGGAGGAACTTATAAGAGAAGAAAACCCGCCTTGTTACAAAAGTTACAATTGGGGCAAGTTCTTTGTTTCGAGAAACAGAAGTGATTTCAAAAAGCTCGAAGTTGAGAACATCCAGATTGATCACTTCAAGGCTTAATTAATTACTTTATGTTATTGTACATGAACCATGTTTTACTTTATCAATATCGTAGCTGATGTTTTAATACTTTTGAGTTGTTTCAAAATACTTTATATATATTGTTGTTTATGAATTATGATGAATGCTTATTTGATGAGAAGTAGTGGCGGATTTAGAAACTTTTTTGACCGGGTTCATTATATAATATATTAATAGAGTTTTTAATGAAAATTAACTAAAAGTAATTTAAAATTTTACAAAAATGCTGACAAAACTTGAAAATTATGAAAAACAAAAAAAACTGGTTATAAACCAACACATAAAAAATAATGATAACAAATAAAAATAATATTTATACTTGATTGTTCAATTATACAATTTTAAATTCTCACGAATGGGTCAAACAATAAAATAAATTAAATTAGGGGGTTAAACATTGGATTTACACCAAATAATATCACCTAACGTAATCAAACACTAAACAAATTAGCAAAAAACCAAAATTAGTCGGGGTCATGTGATCCCCTATCTTACACATAGCTCTGCCCCTGATGAGAAGCCCACTTAACCCACAAATCCACAGAGCAACTAAGGAGAGGTTTTCAATACCATTGATCTTCATACCAAATCAAGGAGCTAATATTAAACAATTAAAGGAGCTTATAAACCGCAAAACCCGCCTTGTTACAAATAATACCAATTGAGGAGCTAATAAACCGCAAAACCCGCCTTGTTACAAATAATACCAATTGGGGGAAGTTTCTTATTGACTACTACTTAATGAGAGTGACCAATGTTTTGTTTTTTTATATCCATTCTAGGTGAATACCCGCAAGTACGCGCGGAGTTTTTCTCATAACTATATTTTTGAATTTTGTTCAGAAATTTAACTTAATATATTATAATGTGGTTTTTTATACAAAAAATTATATTTGGTTTTACTGTAGATTTGTTTTGTTTTTAAATAATGTTGTATATCTTGTACTGTTTTATTTCTACAGATAAATTATTATTATCAACTTTATGTATCAAGTTTTAACATACTTCCAATGTTATATGATTTTGTATCATAATAATATTTTACGGAAAATTACTATAAATTATATTTAAATCCACATTAATTTTGAAAAATATTTGCATAACCTTCGTCCACTATCTTATTATATAAATGAGAATGCGCACGATGAGAACTTGACACGTAAGCAAAATTATAACTCACCAGATCGCGACACATGTAATTGTTAATTTAGATTGTGACATGTGTCA